GCGCCTCCCCATAGGTCAATTAATGGGCTAGAGTTAGTGAGAGCGGAAGGGAAATTGTCTGCGGCGGGCCCGCGCCCCGCCCACCCCCCCGTGGCACACGACGCCATGACACCGATAGTATCCCGCCGCCCGACTTTAGGTCGCCGGGGATACAAATTATTGCTTCCAACTGGGACTACGGCAGCAGATGACCTGCGTAATTATAGCAAAGCCATACATCAAGCTAGAAACATATGAACAAGGTTCGAGAGATAATTTGGAATATTATTAAGATTTCCAACACGTTTATCCTCTACAAAGACCAAAGCATCCGTTTTAGGTTTTCGTTTAATGAGAGCCAGCTTCTAGCACAGTGGTATATATATATATATATATAATTTTTTATGTTAAAGTTTTTTTTTTTTTTTTTTTTTTTTTTTTTTTTTTTTTTTTTTTACAATTTTATTTTTTTATATTATATCTATATATATATATAGAGATGAGCAGGAGAGGGGAGAGAGAGAGAGCAGAGAGAGCAGACGAGAGAAGAGGAGATCGGAGAGAGAGAGAGAGAGAGAGAGAGAGAGAGACGAGAGAAGAGAGAGAGGAGGACGAGAGGCAGAGACTGAGAGAGAAGAGACAGAGACAGAGGACAGAGACAGAGACAGAGACAGAGACAGAGAGACAGAGAGAGGACGATGACGAGAGATGAGGAGCAGAGTAGAGAAGAATTTCTGCTGAGATGCACAAAGTGAAAAATAACTGAAAAACAAATATGTATTAGAAAAATTTTAATCTCATACAATAAAAAAATTGAAACCTACAATTTTTCTTCATATCATCATTTCGTGGGAAAACCACAAAAACAATAATAATCATAGTTTAAAACGAATTAATCACTGGACTAAATTTAAATTTAAAAAGCAATAGAAACCCAAAACAGACACATATTATGTATACACCTTATTATACACGCACGTGCCGTGCCCCTAATTGACCTAGCGCTACCAAACTTGGTATACTTACACATCTTGGGGAGAAGGTGTGTCGCGTACCAAAACCAGGTCACTACAACCTTTAGCTTGACCTTAATTATATTTCCCTTCCGCTCTATAACTCGGCCCCTAATTGGCCTAGCGCTACCAAACTTGCTATACTTACACACCTTGGGAAGAATGTGTGTCGCGTACCAAAACCAGGTCACTGCGGCTTTTATTTGACATTGACCTTGACATTGACCTTTATCATATTTCCTTTCCGCTCTATAACTCGGCCCCTAATTGACTTAGCGCGACCAAACTTGGTATACTTATACACATCTTGGGGAGAAGGTGTGTCGCGTACCGAAACCAGGTCACTGCAACCTTTATTTGACATTGACCTTGACCTTGACCTTCATCATATTTTCCTTCCGCTCTATAACTCGGCCCCTAATTGACCTAGCACGACCAAACTTTGTATACTTACACATCTTGGGGAGAACACGGGGGATACATGTAGTTGGCGACAACTGCCCTTTCTAGTTATATTAGTAATAATTTTATGCTCATCCAAAGAGCATATGTAATAAGGTAGGAAAACCATTATAATTTCACTTATTTGGATTTTGAATATTAAATGAAATGAACTGGCAGCGGTGTATCCGTCCGTACCTTGCACTCGTCTCGTCATAGTACATGCATTGCAGCTGTCTCGCATGCTGTCCATGTTATCTCAAATGACACCAAATCAAGGTCATAGTTATAGACGTATATTAGTATTATTTGAACCATCATATTAGCAGGAAGACCATGAGTCCTTTTATCTAGCTAGACCCTTCGCTAATTATATTATTCAACTATTTTCAATAGGCCAAACTAAAAGAGCGAAAAACAGTAGAATTTAAAATGCACAGTACAGTATTACGCATTTTTAGTTATATCCAACTTGCACATTTATGTGCAAACGCCAGTAATCTTCTATATATATATACTTGGTTTCTCAAGTACTCGGTAAAAAGCTCGTTTTCAAATACCGTATTTGTGCAAGAGCAGATCATATTATATAGGGCCTGTGAAAATAACTGGGGGCCATACTTGCTTATAGCTTCAGGATTATTACTATTTATTTACTTATTATAATATTTATTATTAGCTTCAGGAGCGAGTAATAAAACATTTTTGTTTTCATTCACTCATGATAATATTATGTTGGGATCACTTGGGATTCCAATCGCAGTTAAAAATATATCCTTTTTATCAATACCGCTGTCGATTACTATTACCTCCGCCCAACGGAGGTTATGTGATCGCTCTTGTGTGTTAGTGTGTTCGCGCGATCGATATTAGCGCGTGAGTTAGCAGCAGGCCAGTCAGTCAGCAGCAGCCAGCAGCTTGTAACACATACATGTTACATGCTGGCGGAGGTATGCACTCTCCGTGAGTGCCCTCTGTTTAGTTGGCAGTGTTTTCCTTCTGTGTTAGCTTATCATAAAATACATACTTTGGTCTATGAAAACCTGCCTGTCTCAGATAATACGGGTTCACTTCGGTCGGGTGATTGGTAGGTTAGTAAATACGCATATGCTGCATATATTCTGGTGGGTGGTACAAGTACACAACTCCCTGTTAGGTCAGTCAAAATGGCCGGTTTGATGCGTAGGGTCCTCCCGTTATCGCTACAGTTTGCAAAGGGTGTGTTTGTCAAGCGAACCCCGCGACTCCACCCTTCAGCTGCCCTCGGCTGCCGGGCTTACGCTTCCGCTTGGACAACCGCGCAATGTGACGATCCGTCTAGGGCGAAGGAGTTAAACAGGTAATATCAATACAATGTTCACGGGTCGCATACCGGGTGCGCGTACATTTTACGCAGTTAGTTCGCCCGACGGCTGAAAACTGATTGCATATATACAGATACCAGGGACCCGTTGCCCATATCTCAGCATCAAGTGATTCAGATTAGGGTAGACCCGTCTCAGTCAAATACAGGTCGTTATGGATGTTGAACATCGCTAGATGGTTATTTTGGTTGGTGAAGGTTTTAGTCGGCATCATATTTCTCTCACGCTGTACCCGGTATGTGCGGCGCTTACACGAAGAGCGAGTCTCGTGCCGTTGCAAACGATTTCGCTTCCCTTTATTTCATAAAGTTCACAATCCCCTCTACGGCACAAATTCTTCCAAAATAACTTTCCCAATTTTGTATTCTCATGTTATGTACATTATATCAGGGGTGGATAAAAGAGATCCCTATTAGATCTCCTAACTTGTCATAATGTCATTATTAGCACCTGATTATATGTAGGCAAGCACGCGTGGATCTGGCAGCCGTCTACCGCATCCTTGACGATCTGCAGTTCGGGGAGGGTGTTTGTAATCACATCACTCTCATGGCTCCGGCCCAGTCCGGCCACGGAAATGTGATGCTCCTTATCCCATATGGCTTGCACTGGAGCGAGGTTCGTTCTTGTCGTATACAGCGTATTGTCTTTGATATTTAAACGATTGCCACATAAACAGTATGTAAAATCAGGACGTGAGACATCTTGTGTTCTCTTGATAAAATCCGATTATCATCAAAAAGCTTTGCAAGCAGGTTAGTATTGTAATATTTATATATATATATATATATATATATATATAGTATATGGGTGTTGTGTATGTGCGCGTGCGTGCCAGTGCTCCGTGGCGTTGTGTGTTGCGTGCGTGCGTGTGTTCGCGCGCGTGTGTGTATCACGAAATTCCAGCTGCACAATATCATTTTATGTGTTTAAAAAGGTTACGGCATCGAGCCTCGTTGGACTAGATGACAAGCTGCAAGTTGTGGAAGGAGATGGAATGGCTGAAACAACCGCTGCATGTATTCACACAGAGTTACATCGCGCACGCCCTGATGCGTCTTGCGTGCTCCATGTACACCCACCCTACTCGACCGCGATAGGTTAGCGTGATGAGAATATACACTCACACGTATATATTCTTTTAATTATCTGGCTTTCATGCGTTTCTAGTCGTCAGTGTTTATATTGCTATCAAATGTTGATCTGTCACTTGTAGAGGCAGTATAGCGGCTGCGCGGTCAGGTGCAGAGGTAGAATGTGGGAGGGAATCATGTCGTTGTTGAATGAAAGAATATGGTTGGGGAGACATGATGTGAAAGCGACATCGATATTCAAGAGATGAAGAGGGTAGATTGTAATTTTTCCCTATGAAACGAATTATAAATGATAATCGAGAGGATACGCGAACGCCGTGTGGCCGCACATGCTTGCTATAATCTTAGAAAATCCCGATGTTCCCGCAGGATTACTAAAGGATTGCGGGCTGCTGATGGTACATCAGAATTCTGCCCGCTTCTTTAAGAACGTAGCCTACGATCGGAGCTACAGCGGTCTCGCTGATGTAAGCGAGGAGGGCAGGCGGTTAGGCGAGGTGATAGGGGACAAGGAGATCTTGGTGATGTGTAACCATGGAGTCGTCGCCGCTATGCCAAACACCGCGCAGGCGTTCGATCACGTTTACTATTTCGAACGCGCCAGCATGTTTCAGGTATTTGCAGGTTTGGATAATGACGGGTAGATATGGAAAGCTGTGTGCAACGCGGTAATGCACAGGTTAACCTTTCTGATGGCAAATAAAATAAATGTTGAATGATAAACTGATGAATGTAGACGGTCAAAAGTATGTAGCCGATATGATGAATTTATTATCATCATAAATTAATGCCCGCTATACGGTTATGTTATGAGAAGTTAATTTCTTCAATGTAATGCCTGAGTGGCGTAAAATACCACTTTTCACGTTTATTAAATTACAGGTGTTGGCAATGTCGTGCAACAGTGAGTTGGATTTGATTCCGAAGCCCATTCTTGAGTTGACCTGGAATCAATCGCGAAAGAATTTGGATTTTTTCGCCAAATGCCACTTCGACGCAATGAAGAGAGCTTTGCTGAGGAGGTGCCCTGACTTTGCCGACTAATCTAGCTTCCGATTTATGTTGCGTGCGTCGATCCCCTCATCGCGAGTGTAGTAAAAATGCAAAACGTTTTCACTAGCGAGACAAGTACTCACAGTTGTTGTTGCACTCACACTTCGCGCGAGCTGTGTGCGCTGTTCGCAGCATAAACGTGCTATAGCTGGCGCAGGTACTCTGCAGATCAGCTGGTGTACTGATACTCTCGTATTGATAACTAACAAGACGGTATCGTTGTCTGTTATTTACTCGTCTTGGCACCTGTTCGTTTTGCGGATGTACAAGACAGCCAACGTGAGAACCAGCATGTGTGGTTAAATATCGAGCGCGTGTAATCTGCAATGGAGGCAGTCGTTTATCTGATATGCGGGCGCATGCCCCTATTTCGATTAGCATGTTGTCACGGGCACATTTTTTATCATTCTAGTCGACAGCTTCCGAAGCCGATGAATTCCGCTCATAAGTAGAACCACGGTAAGGTTCGTTGGCGGTTATAACGGTGCGTGTGGTACGAGTGCATATATATATGCACGTACGAGTACATTCCCATATCCCATGTACCTGTGAGTGTGGTTCAAGGGGTCGTTGTATCGTTGTCGTCGTATCAGGTACTACAGATATGTACCCGAGGTACATGTATGTATACACAAAGTGTTCCAGACTTGTACTACAGAAGTGTACCCTAACCCTAACGCTAACCCTAACCCTAACCCTAAACATACCTCATATAAAAAATATAAACATAATACTAAACAACCTAAAACTGCCTCGGGTACATATCTGTAGTACCTGATACGACAACGACCCCATCTGCGTGAGTGTGTGGAGTAACTATTATAATCGCAAACCCCACTTCCCGCTCACCTTTTATTTTACCACGCAACCGACGTGCGAGACTTTTTTTTAACGGCTTATCGAAGAGATTGTTAGTAATTCTGCAAAGTTTTAGAAAACTCGGTGTTAGTCAAAAAGATGTGTTAGCCTACATCTCCGCAGCGCACGGGTAGACACATGACGTAGTGATATATGAGCGCTACCACGGCACTTGGAGCGTTTCAATAAAATATGATGCTAAATAACTACGAAATCTATTTACTACCAACGTCTTAATGTTTCTCTACTCTCTTTCGCCTATTATTGCCAACAATTTCCTGTAAATGCCGTGCAAATTCTCCTCTGCAACACACATGTACACCGCGCGCACGCTGCCGCACACTGACACATACAGGAGAGTCTCTAACGCAATATACGTTGATAATGTAAATGTACGCGATTTTACCAGTTTGGTTTGACGGAATCTGACATTTACCAAAACATACGTACCAAATTAACCACTACTCATTGTTAATTATAAAATACCCTACAAAAATATCGCAGACTAAATGATGCGGTGGTCGGAATAATCAGCACGTGACGGTCGGTCCATCATTTCACCAGGGTCTCAATTGTCTGATATGGTGTCAGTCCGTGTGACATATAAGTGGTCTCAGTGATGCACTACTTCTTATCTGCATATGTCTGCCCTTTGTATCGATTGCTATTTACATAACCTGTCGAGACGCTGATTCTTAAACAAACGTGTGTGCGTGCCCGCGCGTTACAGGTCTCATCTTTACATGTCCAACCTTCCTAGCATTGACGTCGCTTTGTCTTTACGCGCGTGCCGAGCTTCTGTAACTGTCATACCCTTCCCTGTTCCATTCAGGACGTCCCTCCTCGTTTCATCTTCCACGACAGCCATTGAGACGCCCTCGGATCTCATCCCAAGGTCCATTACTCCCCGAGACATGTACTCCGAATAGCCTGATTGGCCACGCACTTATCTCAGGTACGATTAACTTACCTGGGCTGCGCGCGCACGTTTCGCAACGTTAAACTTGCCTACCTGTATCGTACTTTCGACCAATGGCGAGGGCAGGTACGCGTAATGCACTGTACCTCTCTGTGCCCCTATGCTAGACGTTTTAATGACAACAGCGTGCGATCACTGGCACACAAACTAGTTACACAGTCACTGTTGGTGGAAGTTGTGTGTGGGTGTCTTGTATTCTCGTCTTGGTGAATAGGAAACTGAGATTTTGGTAGCATTATGGCAGCGGCGGCGTACCTGGTGGTCTTTTACTGTGCAACTTCGGGACAAAACGACGAAAATCTTGGAGCCGACGAAGAAGAGATCGTTCTACTGGTGTGGTTAGTGATAGACATAGCTAACAACAAGGTAAGTCGATCGACGTTCGAATAAAAAGATGACACTGTTGGTTTGATCTTCTCGTCGGGGTAGGGGGTTCTTGATAACGCTGTACGTACATGTCTGTTCCAGCGAAGTAGAGAGCGCAAACATATATAGGCTGTGCATGCCACGAGCAGGTGTGTACTCACATACATGCATGTCACCTTCAATAGGTGCTTTCCGGATATCTGTTCTCAACAGGTGCGAGTGAATTCTGAGAGTCGTTCTGCTATTACGTTATATCACTGCTTCGCACCCGACGGGTTAATTAGCCAAAGGTTGACAATGGGTGGAGGTGGATTTGTTTTGTAATTATTCGGGAAGCAGAATATCTAATATAATTTTGGCAGTGTCACCTTCAGGACTGTGGCTGCATGTTATGAGCCATAGTTATTTTCATTAAAATCATTGTTCATTAAAATTGCTCCATTCGTTCCTACTAGAAAAACGTATCCGATCTGCCATATCTCCCCAGCGAATTCACCGCACCCTACTACACACACACACACACACCCCACACACACACATCACATATATATATATAATATATATATGTGTGTGTGTGTGTGTGTGTGTGTGTGTGTGTGTGTGTGTGTGTGCGTGCGCGCGCGTGCGTGCGGGCTTGTGCGTGCGTGTGTGTATATATATATATAATATTTCTAGCCGATCTTCGAGCAATTTATCGATGATCGATTTATATGTAAACGAAATGCACGGCTATAAATATAATCACACCTGTACGGCGCACCTCACTGCATAGCGGTTGTGAGAAAGTGGGCGGACTTGTTCGAGCGCCGTGCATCACTGCCCCACACCCTCATCGGCTTTATGTTGAACCCTTATGTCTGCGTCTGGAAATGACCTGCCTGAACGACTTGTGCGTCGGAAATCGAATGGCAAAAGTTGATCTAGTTTTCTCCGAGAATCTGGACGCCAAGCGGGAAAATCGAGGGCGACCCCTCCTCGTCGTCCTTTAAAAGCAGTGTCAGTGGACGGCACAAAGGTGCTGAAAAGGGAAAGCCCGTTTCGCTCGGGTATTTGTGTTTAAATACACTGGGTTTACTGTACCGTGCAAATTGTAGGTCTACAGCACAGCGCACAGGCATGGGTGCACGCGCATTCGCAGGGACGCGGCAAACCGCCAATTGCACCAGACCGCATATACCTACCTATACACGCATACATATCCCCCTATAGCAAAACTGAGAATCGAAATGTGATCGTAATTTCGATTCAGTAAGATAATACATTAATAACGATACATTCAAATTTAGTAAGTTAAGTTTAGTAATTAAATTATTAGTAATGAAATATACAAATTTACTCGGCAACTGTACACTGCCGTTTACGTGTCGAAAAATAGTTGCTCGAGGATTTAAAAGATAATTAGCGTGCGCGTTTTCTCCTTTGTCATAGCATTTAACATAATATATATATTAGGCACAATTTCCATCGTAATAATGATTGAGCAACCCGTACAAATCGTACAATATATATATATATATATATAGAGAGAGAGAGAGAGAGAGAGAGAAAGAGAGAGAGAGAGAGAGAGAGAAGAAGGGGATTCCAGCATGGTGTGAAAACATGAAAGCGAGATAGTCTGTCTACTTCCTGCGCGGAGAATCTCCTACCACCATCGCAGACCGCATCCGCCCCGATCACGGCATGCACAATACATCGCGTCATACAAACTCTCAAATGGCGTGGCATTGTGTCGCGAAAGTGCCGTCTCGTGGTGCCAGCATATTGCTGGTGTCGCAGCGCTACCGTGTCCACGATGACTCACGCTCGTCTCCATATATATATATTATATACATGTATGTAGTAAATACACAGTGTTGCTTGACTGATGGAGCCCTACGATGCAGGCGCGGTGGACAAATTACCTGCATACACTCTTTATAATTATCGCTGGCGAACTGCGCAGACGGATGTTGCCACCGAGTGCTGTCAACCTGTAGCGTTTATTTACGGCGATCGCCCTGGGTGTTATATGCATTTATTTGCGCCCTCGTGTTTCCCTAACCTGTTTCGAGCAACTGCTGTCACCTGTTGCTTCGCGCGAGCTTACAACGAGGCTCTATAGTCCGACTGCTCCTCGCCATTAGACATGGGCTGTTGCAGCGCAGCGTGGTGAAAGCGTATATATAAAACTTCGTTTTAGATGAAGCATAAAGCGAGGCGGTTTTATTTTAGATCGCCCGGAGCCTGTCCGTTTGTTGACGGCGTTTATGCTTTAGACAATGCCGCCCTACTCGGCTCCCGACAACTCACGCGTTGCTGTGTGTCGCATGACTATAGCGCTTGTACGCACAGGCGGAACACGCTCTCAGAAGGAAACGGAATATATATATATATATATATATATATATATATATATATATATTCTGTATAGTTGCGTCTCATTATAGCTTATTACATATGCGACACGGCGTCAGCTTTGTCTGTTCGTTCCAACCCGCCTACATAAACGCGTACTACAGCTTGTAACGCGACGCGCATTCGTCATCAAGGCGACAGCTTGTAGCATCGCAATGCTCGGGGCGTGACTAAGCATGTTGCATCAAACTTAAGTTTTACTCCTCGCATCCTTGAGAACATTTTCTGAATTTCGTAAGTAGCTGAGCCGGAGCGTTATAGGCGATAATGACTTGCAAGCCGCCAGCGCAGCATATGCCGCCGCGTTGCTCGCGCGAGCGTTCGTGAAACTGTAAACCAGTTTTATTTTTATAGAATCTTATAGAGTGAAAGAGTCCCGCCTTATTCATCCCACTTGTTTTTATGGTTTAATTGTTCTCCGCTGCGTGTCGTCGAGAAAAGAGCTCTAGAGGAGAGAAGAAAAGAGAGAGAGAAAATGCTCGTCTAATATATAAATAAACGTCGGCTAGGAACATAAACGATAAAACATAAATCTCAAACGGCGACCCGTTACCCGTTCACTCTCGTCGCAGATCGTCATACTAATATATCTGTGTCACGTCATATCTTCGCACGCGAACAAATATCCGCCATGTGTTGTGTCTAGGCCATCTATCATCGAGTGTCCTTTCCTTGGACGGTCCGGACATGTCGGGTCGCGGTTCTCGTAGGCGTAGCACGTAACTGGAGTCATTGGATTATAACTGTTATAACCGTGAATATTTTTTTACGTCGAATGTTCGATTAGTAAACATTTATTTTCTTGCCTCGCAGGTGGTGGCAGTTCAGCATTCATACGTCAAACCACAGACTGCTGACATTAACGATGTAATTTTGACCGAGGACTGCAGACAACAGACAGGCCTGCAAGAGAATGCTATAAAGAGCGCACAGCCTCTCGAACAAGTTCTAGAACAGGTAATTAGTGTCGGGTCGTCTACCCTTGTAGACGAGCTCGTCGCTGCATAACATGTTACTTACTACGCGGGTAGATCTAGCTGATCGGCTGCTATGTGGAATGTGGCATTATTGTGCTGCGCAGAGTAAGGGTTGCGGGAGCAGCCGATCGCAGCGTTCCTGTAGTCGTGTTCGCGAATCTTCAGCGTGCATATATAGCAGAACCTGTATCGTCGTGACTATGGCGCAGAGCTGAAGAGAGTACGAAGAAACGAGTCTGTTTTCGTTGTACGTAGGCTACTGTCCTTATCAACAGCCGTTATTTGAGTACACTTCCTCCACTATTCCAACATGATTGGTTTAGCACGACCATGATAATCGACTCATAATACGTATAGGATGTACTATACTATACGATGTTAAATAGGAGTTACGAGTTAAATCTACTAATAGGAAAAACCCAAAAAGGTCTGTTTCATCTTATTTCGTGTCACCTGTCATATCGGCGTGTCATTAACACAGGCTTAAATCTTCAGTGCAGTACATAACAGACATAGTATAGAATTAATACATAACAGAAATACACTGGCTCTTCGAGTAGTGAAGCAGATATCGATATGTGGGTCGTATGGGCGTGCATCCGGGTGACAAGATATTCTCTAGATTTATTCAAATTATTTTGATAATTATTCGGATTATACGTCACTATTCGACGGAGGATGACCCACTGTGTGATGTTATAGCTGTAGGAATAGTGATATGACTGAGCTGCAAAGTCGTACGGTGATTAGCAGCGACATGTTGCTTCTGACAGAACAGGTAGCGTATTTGCTAGGCGCATTCTCCAAAATGCCCGCCGGCGCTTGGTTCGCCATTTCCACAGTTTCGCATTCATTGTCGATCATGCGCTGAAGTTCTATTCTCACCAAGGTCTCAACAGTCACATCAACTGATTCATTTACAGTCGAATATTCTCTGGTTGATGCAACGCAGCTATCTCTACACCGCAGGAGCTTGTGCGGAAAAAATTCGTGCTCGTCATTATATTAAACAGATATAATATAACACATATTGTTCAAATATTATTATTCGACCCATTTAATTTGCATTGCAAGTTACAGTCGATTGCTTGTGTGCATTTTAAATAAGGTATTTCGTTCAATTTATCTGGCCAATTATCGCACAGTCCGTGTAAAAAGTGCATCTTCTTGTATTTCGTTGTTGAGCCTTTCTTTTTTTCGCCTCATGCAGCACTGTTAACGTTCACTTGTCAGTAAAAGGTTCCATTTATAAACCAATTAAATTACAAATTTGAACTGAAATTCAGAACTTAAGATGGAACTCTATATATTTCCACTGGCTACGAGTCATAGGTCCCTTAATTCTCATGTGTATATGCGCGCATACGATAATTAAAAGCCAGGTATTCTCAAGAAGTTGTATGCAGGACTTAGGCATAGCTAAGTAATATACACGATACGCAATAAATTTGGTTTATGCACGCGTCCTTTGAATGCGACGTAGTTTTTGAGACCACTAAATAAGTCTAGTGTTTAACATATAGAATACCTTTCGCTTTGAAACGCACTTAGAGCGCACTATTGAGATATGAAGACGCCTGTGTGTTGCGCGCGCGTGTGGTTGTAGGTGTGCGTGCGTGTGTGCGTGTAGGTGTAGTCAATTTAGACTTGCCCTTGGGTTCAAATCACCCCTACCCCTAACGCGTGCGCACACACAAACGTCCATCTTTCATTTTCGACTGCAGGTCGTACACTCCCTATCGGTAGCGTTGTCAAACCATGCAGTGTGCCGATTGATTAATGGAGACTGGCATGGGCAGATTTGTCTGCATAAAACGTCACGTATTAGCGGGAAATTAACTGTAAAGTTTTATTCCAGCCATGCATGGTTCTGCCTTAGGCGGTGTAAAAGAGCAATGCTATACGTAAATTTAAAATCCTTCGTTCTGTAAATAACGTAGAATCGAAATTAGTATAATCGTGCAACTATTTGATTGCTTTTTAGCAAGAAATAAACCTCATTTTGCTGAAATTCAATAGTGGTACACCTCGCGAATTCCGAACTTCCGGGAATGCTTTGTTGTGCGGCCACAATGCAAACATTAGAAGAAACATAACACTAAATAAACACACTTAGTCAAACCAATACAGGACTAGCCGTAATGCTATCGCTTGATAAATAACAGCCAGTATATGTAAAACTTTTTATACTGTTACTGCTGAACTTCATATCCTGTACGTTCATTGCGATAATATAATGATGTACTCATAATATCAAGAGTATATAAATAATCCTTCTTTATATGCTCTTGATAATATTTCAATAGCAATGTCATGCCGAATATCGATATTAAAACTGTTATCATTTTTATGTTTTGAGCATAGTACATCAGTGTAGGGGGCCTACAAGGGGCGAGTGTTATACTGAAGTCAGTATTAATATTTATACTCCAGCTTTTATATTTCAACTTATATGTAGTATTTTTCCCACATACATGCACAACATAACGCCTCACATAACACGCTACCATCAGCAAATATTACATTGGTCATGATTATACTGCTTCGCTGTACCAGCGGTGACCAGCACATGCACATTTATGATTTCTGTCGTGTTCTTAATTTTAGTTCGACCAGTTTGCCCGGACGAAGCTGCATGGAGATGCCGGCGGTTCGTTCCACTTCGTCACAGACGGTCAGCTGCATTTCAGGCAATGTCTGCATCCAGAGGCTGGCAACAAGAATGTCGAACTCCCTCCCTATTTCTACAGCTTCTTCGACCTGAGAAAAGAATTTAAGAAATTCTACCACCAGGTGGAAGATGTCTCCTGCGTTAAGGACATGTTAGATTGTATCCTTTTTGGGTGTGAGAAAGTGTATTATATAGATATGTATATATATATATATATATATATCTAAATCTAACATTATATCTGGAGTGTCATACTATCAACATATATCTAGATTATATACTGTACGTCTATATTATGACACTCCTGATTATATTGTATCATAGGCTTACATAAAATCGTTTTTCTGCAATTCCATTTGTGATTCTTAAATACATCATGGCATTTACTTGATACGCTTTATTTATGCGCGGACACGTATTCTGTAACATATACGTAACAAAATTACGTATCTGGGAACAAAATTACCTTCGATGTACGATAGTAGCCAAGGGGCGTTTGAAATCAATCGAAGTTGACATTAGATGGTTGAATCGAAGATTCCATCGCAATCGTGCGTGTCCGATGAATAGTACGAGTAGTAAATTGCACAGATTCTCTGTTCCTGTCTGGCGTAGGAGACGAGGATATTAGGCGATTTCTCTGCTTAGAATCCATGTGATATTAATCCGCGGCGAATTAGCGGACGAACGAGCACGTTTTCTATTCGGGTTGAGGTTGAGTTACTTTGGCCGTTGGCATTCTCATCAAAGTGCTCACAAACGCGTGCACCGCATGTAAAGCGAATATCTATTACTACTATAACGATTATATCTATCAAGCCAGGTTTCAATTCCCTATTAGAATTGAATGAACAAGTCACATCTTTTCTCTCCATGTTTTTCGTTATGTGGCGGATAGTATCGGCAAAAAGCAAGAGGCAATAATGACTCGAAATTCCAGGCGTAATTTCTTATATGCATGTGTTTCTGCATACAACCAAGAGCGTACAAAGAAGGAGAGCGTACAACGGTGAAATGCTGAAACTATGTTGCAGTATTAATCAAATTAATAAATTTAACTAACGACTAAATTTTGACGATTCTTTGCAGTAATATTGATCAGCTGTCCTACCTTGTTAATATAAAACAAACCGCATGTCCCTCCGATGCTCCTACGCTGAGCTGATGAGCGGTGAAAATCTGGTATTTTCTCTGAAAACCGAAGCGAGATTAGTGCTAACTGCGACTGTCTCTCGCTTTGAGATAACTTCGGGAAACTTCGGCAAAGTTTCTTTATTCGACTAATACTGCAACATGATTTCACCATTTCACCGTTGTACGCTCTCCTTTTTTTTTTATACGCTCTTGATACAATCAGCTATGTAGTGGAGGCGTGATCACGTACTGGTGAGTGACATAGGTGACGTAATGTTGAACTCCACGACGTTTGTATAAAACATTAAAAGGTTCCGCGACCAAAGTGTCATTACTGATCGAGTTCCCACCTTCTCAAGTTATAAGAACACCTTATTTCGTCGCCCTGATAAATATTTCAATTTAAATCTATCTCGTTCTGTGAGTAATTAGATAACACTTGTTTACATTTGCATGTGTTGCCGTCTGTAGGTGTAGCACTTACGGGTCAAGTCGATCAATGAGTCTCTTGTGTCGGCAAGCTGCCGCATGATTCACTGAGACACGAAACCCCCTTGTCTATATTTGCACGACATTATAGTTTAATAAGTCGTAATAACAACAGTATACGCTGGCGTCTCTATGTTCTACCGGCTTTTGTTTTCGCAGACACTGAATCGTGACACCTCATGCTGGCTACATGCAGGGCGAGGAACCAGTGTGTGTGTGTGCTAGCTGTTCGTAGTTAAAAGCTTGAAACGAGATGAGAGGTACCTGGTCACATCTGAAATACTTGTGTAACTACTAGCAAGGCCACGGTAATTGTGTTTGTGTACGTAATTGTAGCGCATACGATTTGTACCGACTACTGGCGCGCATAGACTTTACCAGCAGTGAATAATAATAGATCTATTATTATTCACTCCTGACTTTATCCATCCCCGCTCACCCTTCCCTCACCTTTATTAGTCGTTCTCCATCACATCCGTGGCCATAATGTATTGTCTCTTTCACTTTGTCGCTCTCTCTGTCTCTCGCTTTCCCATACTTCCCATCTATCTCTAATTATTTGCGCCGCATGCAAAGTTGCATTGGCACGCATAAAACACACCAGGACAAGTATTAACAATGCATGCGCTAGCCTAATTGATGAAACGTCAAGCTGTCACCCTATCACAATCACCACAGTGTCTACCCTGTCTGCCCAAATTGTGTATCAAGTGCAGACGCGTGCAACAGGTTTTCTCGGAGAATGTGTTAGATATGTACACATTTGGGTTATTAAATGCAAGTAGCATCGGGTCAGAGCCATGTGGGTACTGTCAAAAATCGCGCGCCAAGTAGTAGCGCGTATATATATGTATTGTGTTTAATGACATATGCGTATAGTAACAGCTGTCGTTACTGCAGAATACACGCGCGCTCTGTTGCGTGAATTAGTAAAATCTACGTAGATTGCTCACGTGAGGATGTATAAAGATTATATACGAAATTTGTTTTGACAATTGAAATTCTCATCTTTAAGCTGCCTCAAGATTAATATTATACCCCGTGTTGTATATCGAATGGAGTTCAAGTATATTTTCCAGAGCAAACGTTTTTGCTAGATGAGTACAAATTTACCAAGCTATACGTTCATTTACGCCAATTATTCTGATGAGTTTTGTTAATTATCCCGTGTCCCTGGTCCGAGCTCTAGAGGTTTATCCGGAATCTGCGGGCATCGACCATACAATTGTGACTTGTACCTGAGAGGCAACAAGGGCCATATATTTCCAACTGACAAGATGCTGTCTCACTGTCTTAATGACTATATCAAGACAGCGAGTTTAACTGTCCACAGGTACCGCGAACCAATCACAACTGTGTTTTGTTAGTCTCGACGTCTCTGTCTCAGTTGTCGCTGCTAGGTAATTAATGTATATTTATACAGGTTCTCCTAAGAGAAAACCACGGAATGTAACCAGAAAAGAAGGTTGTTGGGGATACCTACCCCGCGCTAAACCCCATAAATTGCGACGGTCTCATCCTCGTATTGTCGTGGACACATCGCTCGACCCTGGTCTTGTCTCTGACAGATGACGACCTAAATAGCCGGCAAACCTGTTCGATGCATTTGCGCTTCGTCTGCTGGTGTCAGGGGCGTGACCGGCTGGGGTTATTAGACCTCACGCTTGTCATCAGTGCATATTTTACTACGGGGACGTTGCCTGCGCAATGAATGAAAAGGCGCTCGAACGTGCGTTACGTTGATTCGATGTGATTGGTACGTGTTCCCTTAGTATAGACGCCATATCAGCTAGATTTAAACGTATCTCTTCAGGGTAGGGCCTACTCTTATTGGAAATACACTGCACGCGTGCACGCAGTTCGTTTGGTATACGTATGTAACGACGGGGCGAACCCCCGCACGAATGGATCTACAGTGATTTTGCCCTGTTCTTTCTCTATCGAGATACATGAAATTAAGTATATAGTGTTTTTAAACTTATTATTACAACCTGTTTGGCGCTTAACAAAGCAAGCTCCGAAATGAGTATGAAATTGGTTTAATAATATGTATCATGCCCACATTATAAATTGCGTGTATAGGGTCATTATTATAACGTGTTTCGCCGTGTTGGCGTCGTGTTAAATATCCCGCCACCGTTTGTGTTAATGTTTTATGCAAATATCGGTTGAACTTAGATCTCCAGCAGTTAATATATGGCGGCTTGTTTAATGTGAGATAGCGCTAATAAAGCCCCCGCTGTTCAATTTTCGCGTATATACTGACCTGGAGGCTAGTATTGTACATGGGGTGTAGATGGGTAGAACGTATATGCGAAACATCTTTGCATGAGGATAACTCATTATGCTTGTAGCTCAAGCAATATAATACACGTGCTAATAGCTACTAATAGCCACTCATAGCTACCAATTTCTTAGAATGATATAACAATATGCCTTTGGCATCTCTCATTATATTTACATAATTTAAATTCTTAAAGCTTTACAACATTTTCGTAAAACTTTACATTGCTACGCTTCAATATCATCCTGGTTCAGCAGTGATGTCGCACCGTCATATTAGTAAGCAACATCGAGAAAAGTAGATTAGCCATTGTAAGATGACAAGACCATGTACTCGCTTATACACGCGCACTCTTTAATTGAGTTGTAAAGAATGGCGAGTTCGCTACGCGCAGATTTCTAAAATAATGTTCCTCTATGCACCGTTACGTTCACCATGCACTCTTATGTTCACCACGTAACCTTATAGTCGCTATGTATCTTTTTAGTCGTCATGTACCCGTATCTTCACCATGCAACCTTATGTTCGTCATGCACCCTTACGTTCACCATGCACCCGTATCTTCACCATGCAACCTTATGTTCGTCATGCACCCTTACGTTCACCATGCAACCTTATGTTCACCATGCAACCTTATGTTCACCATGTACCATTACGGTCACCATGTACCCGTATGTTCACCGTGCAACCCTATGTTCGTCATGCACCCCTAATGGCTGTTATTGATACATCCGCTATACGTATTAGCGCTCGGACCGGCGAATTTACTCTTGCACCTTTTGGTATGAAAATACAGGAATCGGACGTGAATGCCTATCACCGGCGTGACGGCAGCGCATACGTGTGCCGCTGACATGTGAATGAGGCTGCCGCCGCGGCGTCGACCGACTTGCAACAATAGTGAATGCATGCTCCCCTCGCACGGAACGCGCCGGTTTAATCACCCCGGCGATGGTGCGGCCGCTTCCCTTTCGCGTCGACCACTTTTTCTCGCCGACGAACTGATTGCGTCAAAACAATGGGACGCTTTATGTCCTTTGTGTTGGCGAAAGCCGAAAAACTGTCTGCCGCGCGCGCGGTGTCGGCGCCTGGGCAGGACGACAACGAAAATAGAAGCATTGTCATGCAAGTGATCTCCATAATCAAGGCGACAATAGTGTTACTGTTTATGGTCGTCGCCATTTCGAGCGTGGCACCCATAGAGAAGTGATCAAGATGAATAGTAGTTGGGTTATACCACAGTGTTCTGTTACGGCAGTTCACCCCCTTCACTACTTGTTCTGGCACATTCATTCGCCTTGCTTTATTGTCTGTGATAGGCGGTAGGGTACCTGTTGTACGAATTAAGGTTAAGATTGACGTGTCTGGTGTGCGGTCTATGACTATAATAACCATACGTGGCTTAACGACGACATGTAGCTCCCGGGAGCTGGCAGTACACCCGCCCTTAACCATTTACTCATTGTGAGTCCTAATCACCCAGACGACAATACTCGTCTTCTGATGAATCACTGGTGTTTGCAAACTTGGCCGTATTTCCGTCTTACACAGCGCGAGTTTGCCAGCACCAGGTTAATGGGCGACCAATTACAATGACGGCTGTTTGGAGCGATCCCGAAATACAGTAAATCTCAAAATTATCCCTCTGTTTATCCTGCTTGATTATCCGAACCTCATTATTGGGCCGGTGGTTTGATGGTGCGTTTAGCGGAAGTCTGGTTTAGGCTCGTGTTACTCGAAATGTGAAGTGACATCTGACCACATGGTGTGGTTCCTGTACGCGGAGAGGGTCAGTCGGTAAACGCGCGCAATTACTTACGAATAGTTGTGTAAACAACCAACAAACATCTGGAATTTCCTCCATGAAACGTGCTTGCTGGGCCAATTGCATATGCAATCTTTCAATCAGTTCGAACAAAATACATTAATATTAGCCTACATTAATACGTAAAACAGCAGCAACGAACGACGGCGAGGACTACGACGGTGATGATGATGATGATAATGATAATAATAATAATAATAATAATAATAATAATAATAATAATAATAATAATAATAATAACATTATATGGTATAGGTGTCATTATCAGAAAAAATGTACAAATATATACTGCACCTTAACTCGTCAAATCAGATATAGGTTTGGAAGTTGATGAATCGGCAGAATTCGGTATCAGACATGGCCAAGAGATGGGAAAAATCATACAGCGAATGCTCCACGACGGTAAGATATAGAACCCTTTTAGCCACTCCTTTATATCGTCTTGCTCTTGACCGCTACCATTCCTCATGTTAGCTTGTAACTCGAGAAGAGAGCTATTCTGCGCACCTATCGGCATAGGATCACGTTTTATCATTTATTCTGCAACACGCCATGTTCACTATATGATCCAATCCCTTTATGTATATTTTGTATTGTTATTGGTAAGGCTTTGCAAATTTAAACGAATTTGTTGCTGTTCATTACTCTGTTGGTGCGTGAAATGAATTCATGGTAGATGTATGTCGGTAAAGAGCCATAGTGTTCACGCAGCTACATCCTCGGGCTTTCACCTTTGTTGACATTGTCAAATAGGGCACAAGACGTGTTTTGAAACCGTGGTTTATATTTGCAGAGCCACTGCACACAATGCTCTGTGGTTAAAAGTTCCGACAACGAAAAAACAACGATGGCGATTGGTGTTATTATGAGCACTAATGTTTGTCATTGTCGTGACACCAACTTTAGACAATCAGGCTGGCGGATATAGTGTAATATAATTGCTTAAATTTATACATACTTCCACAAAAGGTCTATAACATTTGGGAAAATTGCGAAGCTACTTGTTGCAATGTATTTTATCAGGAATGCTGTGCGCCATTGACATTGGCATTAAAATCAAGCCAGGTTGCTGTATTCATATGATTCCTGTGACTATATATAGCAACCGCCATGATTAAGTCGAGCTCCGTCGAGAGAGATGATTCCAGAAAGTCACGAACCGTGACAGCTCAATCTTTTTTCTCCTGTCTTTGTCATCGCTACACGCCGTGCTTATACCAATACACAGGGGCACGCATCCTCTCAAATGCCACGCAGAGGCGTTGTACGCCCTTCACTTTTCAAAGGGCCGTCGACTCCTGTATTGTCACTGCGCGAACCATTGCTCGGTTTGTCCTGCGCGCGGTACGCAGCAATTGCCTCGACCCGGTTGTCTGGTCTTTAAGAACCACTTTGCTCCGCACGAGACAGCGGCATGTCATTACGGCCGAGAAAGATGAGGCTCGCTCATATCAAGCTGCACGTGAAGCTATAGCTGACTGCGTCATTGTTTTGATGCGTCGGCGGCATCCGCGCACAATAACATTCGCTGTTACAAATGAGCTGATGATATCACGCTCATCTTTGTTTGTTCTCGCGTGCGCGAAATTACGCGACGCTCCAAGGTGTAGTGCCCTTGGTGGTGATTGGACTCGCATTCCGATTACGGAATAAGCAGATACGATTTTAGCGAAAAGACAGTATAAAAATCAAAACAGAAACGTAGAGGAATCACTGTCACACGGCCGCCGCCATGTCAACTATAACCCGACGAGCAGTGCGGTTATTGGCTGTATATATCCAACTGCGCGAAGCATAGAACGAATTGATGATACAAACTTTATAAAGAAATATTTTGGTAGCAAAGCGTTAAGCATCGAAATTTATTGTTCATATTTGATATATTGCCATACGCGACCGAAACATTACCTACACTTGATCTCGTATACTTCTATTGAACAGGGAAAATAAAAGCAGTTTCTGCTAAAGCTACTTGCCAAGGTGATTATATTGTACACGCCGAATACACGCCGATTTGGAAATTTTCTTTTATTTAAACAGCAGGAGGGTAGCTAGACTCAAATGCACGATACTGCGTATGCGTCCCGTCTGCGAAATTTCAATCTATTTATACGTTTAATGTCCAAAATCGTTGATCTAGCGTTGGAACTAAACTGAAATATCGGTCGGTTACCTTGTGTGCGTTGAAAGAATGCGGACGTTTACACGCTAATCATGTCGATGCATAATTTACATCTTGCTATGCGATTCGTATACGCATTGATTTGTTTTGAATAATTTTGCAGGGCACAGATTCGAAAATCCGGAGCCGGTAAACGCACGGCTAGAAGCAGGATTATGGTGAGAATCGGTTTTTTCTTCGTTTGTTTTCTTTGTTTTCTTTATCTAAACTGAGGCCGATGTGTATATGGATACGTACGTGCGCGTATACCCACTTGTGTATGTGTGCGTGCGTTGAAAAGACTATTAATGTATGAACTCATACAACATCATATCATATCATTTCATATTATATGTAGCTTAACCTGTTTGTATTTCCATTGTTGTAACCACGTGAGTACCGATCGCTGTAACTTGATAATAACCCTAGCGCCTGTTATCGCAAGTAGCGATCCTATTAAGTTATCCTAGAAATGCACACAAGAAATTATGCATATAATGATGATGATAAATTCACAATTGTAATTTGAGATTATTATACCATGATAGCAATGTAGGCAGTTTTTGTCATTTAATTATCGCGCAATTAAATAAAAAACGTGAAAGTGAGAGTTGTATTGGGAGAAATGTTATTACTAAAATTTACATGATTATAGCTGTATAGTTGTATTCAGTAAAGTAACACCTTTGATTGCCATGTGACGAGGAGAGTTTTTTTAACACCCACGTTGTAAAATATCGAACGATCGCGACTGGAATTGTTAAAATTGAAAGACGTGTGTCGTTTGGATGGGTCTACTGACGGCGTTAATGCGCGCGTTTAAACGGAAAGGTTTGAACAGGCGTGGTATCCGTCACCATATAGCCAACGGCATTGAATGTATGCGCATGTACTCGCGAGCTGGTCTCTATACTCACGAAACATACATGATACGGTATTATTCTATCATGCCTATACCATCCGTGTGTGTGTGTGTGGGGGGGGGTATTTCTACCTTCTCCTATTCGTTTCAGTTAACGCCTATTTGTAAAAGATTGGCGAAATGGGAGACCTTCCGTTTCTTGCCGGTTTCTCATTTTACCAATAGCCCGTGTATATCTGTGGATATCTCCTTTCAGTCTATATCTGTGTATGTCGATTGTCATAAAGCTGTCTCACTGACCTTAGGTTTATGACGTTATTCTAACCGACCTGTAATTTTTCCAGTTTTCTGGGGTTGTCACGTAAAACATGAAACGTATGAGGGTATTAGTCACATTCCAACGACTGAACGCGTTGCTGACGCGATATATATATATATATATATCCTCGGGTTTAACACTATTTCACATACAAGAACTGCCACAGCTGTCAGGGATATAACTGGTATACAAAAATACAAGCGCTCGTCGAATATATTTACGTACACCGATGTTTCTATTTCATATGAATCCCATTCCATGACAAAAAACACGAAGCATAAATCAATCCACTTTACCTTTGACATCTTATCCAAGCGATTGTCGCGATTTCCGAGTACCATATTCGAATATGCAAATCTCATTAATGTCGCAGTTAAATATAAAAGTCGCGTATGAGGAATCGTGTCTCATGCAAGTATAATTGTATTATGTCTTAAGCACCCCCGATGTTGCTATCCATACATGCCTGCGGACATAATTTCGTTACAGACGAATAATGATGACTAGGTAATTAAAATTGCAAAGCGTCCGCACTGCTTTGAAGCATACTTCACGAGCTCGCATGTGTAATAAGTGTATCACGACTCGTCGCTGGTATATATAGCAAGCAAACTCTGTGTGCGTGCGTGCGTGCGTGCGTGCGTGCGTGCGTGCGTGCGTGCGTGCGTGCGTGCGTGCGTGATCGTGATCCATGGGGAATGTTTTCCCGACGCACTCAGTTGATGTGCCGATCCGTACCTGGCGCTAACGATGCGCCGGGTGGCCTTGGCAAAACTGGTTTCACAGTCTCATCTCCGACCGCTGGGGGTGACTGAACGCGCAAACGCTAGACGGTCGCTGAATCGGAGGCTACCGCTGCGTTTACGAGCACACCGAACGCCTTGGTCGACGACTATAAGCAAGCAAGAGTTGGCTCAACTTTTTTGAAGTTGCACATTATATCTCTGATGCGAAATCACTAATATAATAGTCTGTTAGGACGTGACGGCGTTATATGCATCGTTAATAATGTCACCCCCCAGCAGCACAATCACGAGCGGTCGGTGCTAGATTCTAACCTGTTTGGTATCGCCCCCCATTCCATTATACACGAGCAAGGCTCGCCTGGAAACCGGCCAGTATAATTTCGCATCGTTCGTGTCAAGTCTTCCAACGCGAACCACCAAGACCATGCAGATAATCGTTTGGCACTTACACCAATAGAAATGTGTTATAAAATATTAGTTATCTGCGGGCGCGATGAGATTATATACCAACGTACTCATCGATGTAATAATAAGACTTCAACACAATGCAGAACCAATTAAACCTGTAGGTGCGTCGGTTGACATACAGAATGTACGTACAGTCAGAAATAACGCAATATATATATATATTTAGCCGTGTAACTTATCAGGAACTACGTGGTGTGCTGAGTAGTGAGCCATTCATTGCTATTGTTTAGTTGTGGATTATTATCTGAAACGCAAAGAAATTTATATTTATAGCATGTATTGTATATTCGTCTATATGCCTTTCGTTGTCGTTACACCTAGTCGCATTATAGATATATATCTACGAATGCGTAAAAAATTTTAATAGTCTGGTACACGTAAAAAATATTTAAAAAATTTCATATGTAATCAGCCTAAGAACAAAATCAATAAGGATTTACCTGTGTTAGTTGGTGCGTTATTTGCGCATTGCAGGTTTTTGAACTATGACTAACCCAGTAAAAACGGAAAGTACACATTACGGAAGCGTCAAAGTTTTGGTGAATGCACAACGTACTTACAGGAGCAACCGAGTTGAGATATACTTGATAATGCGTAATGCGCAAATAGATGTAGAATTTTGCGTTTTCGTCAGGTTACTGACCTCTAGCATTCAAAAGCATTGTACACGTGTGATGCACGTAAGATCTTTACGTAAGGATTCAGCTGTGAGCTGCGCTGCAATGCGTAAACTCTTAAACAGCAGCTATATTATTTTTTCGTTACATAGAAATAGTAGACCGAGTATGTTAACACATTTCTCTGAAACTGTATTAACTTTAGCATGATTGAACGACTAATATTTTGAAATTACACATGGAAATAACAAACCAAAAATACTATAATACTATAAATACTATAATACCTAATAAAAACGACAATACTATGTTGTAGCTCAAAGGACGAGGAAATTGACACAAACTGTGTGATCAGAGCCAGAGGCCTTCCATGGCAGTCCTCCGATCAAGATATCGCCAAGTTCTTCCGTGGCCTAAATATAATGAAGTGAGTTTTAAGCACTCGGCAACAGCCAATGACTAGAAGGATTTCAGCACGAAATTCCCTAGTTTATCACCGGTCTCAAAGCTATTAGCCGCTTTGCTTATTTCTATGCTTTATAAGTTTTTTACTGGTCTGCGACTGTATTAACTAGCAACTGATATTCGTGTTTGTTCTGTATACATTACCTGGAAAACCATTGCCGGTAGTACTTTTAAAATGTTTGATTATTTCTGGTTGGCATTATGACACTTCGGGCGTGCATTATATGCAATCGTCTATGTAAGTTAATGTGGTTCATGAATGAATGTATACATAAATATTTATTTATTTATTTATTTATTCAACTTTTAAGTATGATTCTACATTAAACTTTACCGGATATAATATAGCACAGGTCACAGTAAATTGCGTTAATGCAGATGACTTCTCCCGCCAATAACACCAAACCCGCGTGCCCATGCACTCGTGCATTCTCATCCTCCTCGTCATCCTCATCTGTTTCGTCGATGCAGAGGTGGCGTCGCGTTGTGCCTAAGCGCCCAGGGACGACGAAACGGCGAGGCACTCGTGAGATTCATCGATCAGGAGCACAGAGATCTGGCGTTGAAGAGACACAAACACCACATCGGTCAGCGTTACATCGAGGTGTACAAGGCGACCGGCGAGGACTTTATCAGCGTCGCGGCCGGTGAGTCCCTTTGAGTTCGGCGGGCTTATGAAGTAAATGTTAGCATGCCTAGCGTTTAAGTAGGCATCCAACAAGCCGAAGAACCATGCGTCATCCACGTAGCAAGTAGATCAAGATTCATGGGTTTGATGTTTTCGTACAAAGCTCTTGACACCCCCGAATATTAGCAGCACCTTCGCAAAATTCACAAGATATAATATATAGAAGATAGTATGATCTACTTTCAGAGAGTAATGATAATAGATAACTTAAAGTAGGTTATATCCTATATCAAGTTAATTTAGTGGCTAATTGTATCGCTATCTAACCCATTCTCGGACTAAATCTATTGCAGAACAGTTCATTGATTCAGTCATCCAATGCCGGATAGCGCGCACGTCATTTGACTTATACAAATAATTATTCATGAATACAGGAAACAACAACGAAGCAACCGCGTTCCTTTCCCGAGGGGCTCAGGTTATTGTGCGAATGCGAGGTCTTCCATATGACACTTCCGCAAAAGATATTGTAAGTTTGCAATACTTGAACAGCGTGTTGTTAAATTGTAGCAAGACTGTTATAAATAACGCCACTGCAATAATGGCTTCACCTACGATTATTTGCTCAAATGGCCCACACATACAGTTAATGCGAAACTTCGCGCCCGCAAAGACTTCTATGCGTTACCAAATGTCTAACGAAATCGAAATACCCTTGTCAGTTGCGTGCCTCTGAGTGCCTCTGACGAGCGGCTAGCCCAACTGCTAACCGATGACCGACCGGCGTGTATAGCTTACTCATGCAGGAATAACACAGCTTCCTTGTCTGTCGATGTGCAGATTACGTTTTTCGTGTCTGGTGAGAATCCGTGTAACGTGATGGACGGCGAGGAGGGCATTCTGTTCGTGCACAAGCCCGACGGCCGCGCGACGGGCGACGCGTTCGTGCTGTTCGCGAACGAAGAGGACGTCGGCAGGGCGCTGAAGAAACACCGAGAAATCATCGGCTCCCGATACATCGAGCTGTTCCGTAGTACGACGGCTGAGGTTCAGCAGGTAATTGTATAAAGTATAGTAAACGTATAAGGTATATATTTAGGCTGGGTGCGTGGTAGGGCGGGTGCGTGTTAGGGCGGGTATGTGGTAGGGCGGGTGCGTGGTAGGGCGGGTACGTGGTAGGGTGGGTACGTGGCAGGGTGGGTGTGTGGTAGGGTGGGTGCGTGGTAGGCTGGGTGCGTGGTAGGGCGAGTACGTGTTAAGGAGAGTGCGTGGCAGGGTGGGTGTGTGGTAGGGTGGGTGCGTGGTAGGGTGGGTGCGTGGTAGGGTGGGTGCGCGGTAGGGTGGGTGCGTGGTAGGCTGGGTGCGCGGCAGGGTGGGTGCGTGGTAGAGCGCCAGGCAGGCAAGCAGGCAGGCAGGGAGACAGACAGACAGACAGATAGGCAGACAGACAGACAGTCAGTCAGTCAGACAGACAGCCAGACTCAGACAAAACACAAACGGGCTTAACACTTATTTGTCCACGTTCACCTATTATCTCTCAAGCGCGCACACTATAGGGAGTAGGAACCTGTTGCTTAGTACTCAGTTGTTTTCATTAAGGAGAAGGTTCGATTACATGTATTTAGACCCTCGCCCAGCAGCACTACCGCAAGCTGTCGCCTAGAAACTATTCTTGGCAGGACTTATATACTTATATTACTATACGTGACAAATGCATTTCCCGTTGTTGTGTGAGCGGGGCGTTTATTTAGTATTCTCTGTGTTAAGAGCGGAGACGCATTTGATAATCGAAGTGTCATATCGCCATGGAGATGGTAAGCAGGGGTCTCGTTGTCAGAAGCACTATAAATAGTTATGACTAACTAAAGTCTAAAATGACATAACTTTTGCATGGCTCGTCAGTTAAAAAGTTACAACATTTTAGACTCATGGCGTTTTAACTACTTATGCTGTTTCTGATGATACTAGAATAAATAAATAATATTAAGTATATACATCAAAGTCTTGGTTGTGATCCTGGTACGTAATACATTAAAGATGAATGGCTGTATCAACGAACTCAACTGAAATACGTTTATCATGACGCAATACTTGCTTTGTAGGTTCTGAACCGAACGATGGACCCAAAGACATATGAACAACAGGCTCCTCTGATCACCAACGTCCCACAGGTGCCATTAATGCCGCAGCACATCATTACAAGTGGATCTCGCAAGGACTGCATCCGTCTCAGAGGGCTTCCCTTCGAGGCTCGAGTCGAGAATATTCTAGAGTTTCTCGGGGAGCACGCGAAGAGTATTGTGTATCAGGGTGTACACATGGTCTTCAATGCACAGGTCAGTTTCACACTCGAGACCGTATATCGGTTTCTAATTGAGACACCGTGACCTATAATCACTAGATAAAGAATTTCAGCGTCTTGACGGCATTGCGCTTACATGCAAGAGTTTCGTTTCAGTTCTAGTTCAATAACTGGGTCTTTGTCATACTGAAGATTCTGTCAGATAGGATGATCGAGAGTGCAAGCAAAAGATGGGAGAAAATTCGGGATAAATTATTATTGCTTATTTACGCATGGATATATCCAAACGTATGCATGTAACACTGCGGGGGAGTTACTAGCCCTTTTAGCCGGGGGGAGGGGGCAAGATGTTCTGGTCAGGTGATCGTGGGAAGTTCGTCATTGATCATGTAACAATATCTACAGTTCTCTAGGGTGTGAGCATGCAATCGCACCACTTGCCCTCACCCCGTTAACTACGGCCCTGCACTGTTAAATCTTACTGCCCCCCCCCAACATTCAGCTAAACTGGGCCCTATAGTAATATCTCGTGATTCTTCAGGGTCAGCCATCTGGCGAAGCGTTCATCCAGATGAGCTCCGAGCATGCGGCGTTCATGGGCGCTGCCGAGCGCCACCACAAGAACATGTACATCGGCAAGAAGCAGCGCTACATTGAGGTGTTCCAGTGCTCCGGAGACGACATGAACGTGGTTCTACAGGGTGGGCCCGTACTCGTTAATCGCGCTGGTCTAATGTCTCCTGGTATGCACTGCACACGTACTAAAAACTAAAACGCAGTAGTTAAGATCCGCCGCGAATTTCTCCTTCCTTCTTCCGTCACATTCTTCTACGACTCACAAAAAGATTGTAAGGCATCGCCTCTTTTACCACCGTTTCTGCGGCACTGCTGTGTCCCTCACCCCTGCTATGCCTTTTCACTTTAACCACTGACTAAAAACAAGCGTCATAACCATCTTTATCTATAGCAAGTCTGATAGGCCCGGCTTGCCCGCACGCAAGTTTGTTTCGACTCTGACATCGTAACTACATGTCACGTACTTCTGCACATATGATAAAATGGCCGTACTCGCAGTGAACTTAATTTGAACAATTCCTTCAGTATTATTTTATAAACTTATGCATTTATGTAATACATTAATGTGTTTCATAACGAACGATAACCGTGTATGAAAGACAAGTCTATCATAGATTGCATCTTTAATGATTAGTAACAGTAGACATACGTTCACTACTAGTTCTAAATCTTTATGTATCTTTCGATTGCACTTGGTTTGTTAGTGTATCATCGAACTTCTCGTGGCGTTTTCTTAATTCCTATGTAGATAATAAGACGTATTTCGTTTTTATTTCAGGAAACACACTGATGCCTCAGCCATACACATATCCCTATGCTGCTATCCCACAATCGCCAGGAATTATCCCCATGCATTCGCCATTAAGCCCCCTCAGTCCGGCAGGTCGAGCTCCCGCGTACATTTCCCCAGTCTACTATTGGCCATATCCCAGTCCTTATCCGAGTCCACCCGTCTCGCCTACCAGCTATTACCAGCACAACGGTCCGACCGTGATCGTGATGAGGGGCCTGCCGTTTAACGCCTCGACGGCAGACATTCTAAATTTCTTCCAAGGGTTCCCCGAGGTAAGAATCCGCTCATAATTATGCCGTAGGACGAAGAGTTGTTCACTGACCAGTATTGCAACGCGGTCAGCCCGGGAAGCGGTAGTCATCGAAGCTGCAACCAGTGAAGCTAGTAGCTATATAGTCCCTGAAATCCTTACTCAGTGAAAGGATAGTCAATGAAGTCACAGTAAGTGACGCCTTAGTGCAGCCATTCATTAAACACCCGGGGCCCGTTGTCAGAAACAAAATTAGTCTTAACATTAGTCTTAACATTAGCAATTTCTCTTAGACCGTCGACATCGCTTTGTTTCGTATTGTTATGAGGAAATCTGCTACGATTTTTCATTCTCGTAACTTGGCAGCGTTTCTGTCAACGGTCTAAGAGAAAAAGTTAATGTTAAGACTAATTTTAAGACCAATTTTATTTCTGACAACGGGCCCTTAGCTATTATTATACGCCTTTAATGCACATCGCGATTTAAGAAAACCCGAACAAAAGGACGTGCTGTTACCGTACGCGTTGTTACCGTCTGTCTATCAGTCGACTGATCGGATTACTAAGGATTATTAATGATGCCATGAGCTTCATTTTCCACTCCGCCTACTATCGATGTTTCTAAACAGTGTGGATCGATGGATGACTCGAAGGACTGGTTCCCCGTAGTGTGTTATATAGTGGGAAAGCAACCTTGGACTAACAATATCCGTCATGGGGCTATTAAACAATTCGTTAGGCATTCGTTCAAAAATAGTCAGCGCTATGATAGCACTCAGCTACTCGTTTCGACTCTTGACTATTTTCGTAACGCGATTTACTATATACCTTCATCGAAGGGTGAGAAACCGAAAGGGGTCACGAAAAAGCCCGGTTGTGAAAGCCATGTTCAGAACCCACAAAAAACGCGTGTATGGTAGCGGCACCTATTCCTTAGCAAACGAATCTCGCTAGTAAGTATTAATCTAACGGTGATATCCTGCGGACAGGTACAGCCGGACAGCGTGCAACTGCATCGCAACGCTGACGGTAGACCGAGCGGGGACGCCTACGTGACCTTCCTGTCGAGAACCGAGGCCGAGCGCTCTATCCAGGAGAAAAACCGCCAGAACATCGGTAACCGGTACATCGAGCTCTTCATGGCGTAGATCGCCACGCCACGTACGGGACCGCCTGCAAGGAGCAAGGGTTTAACTAGAGTCTAACAAGATTTAACGTCTAACTAGATCTAACTAGATTTAACGTCACGTGAGGCGACGTGAAGTTAGTGCTCGTACGGCTTGTTTTGGGTGCGCGAGGCATCGAAAGATGCGCTAGGTGCCACGTGTAGACGTGCTCATCGCGCAGGCGTGTTAATCGTGTTTACAGTATACGATTTCTCGCTATAATAACGGAATGTATTCCAACGCCAGGCATGAGCAGATGTCGCGGTGAGACGTTGAATATTCAGGCTCGACGAAATTGCGTGTCGTTGTCACGCGTGTGCACAGCTGCGCATACAGGCCGTGAATCATGGTATAATATTTGGCTAAATATATAATACATATATTTACATGAATATATATATATATATTAGTAGCTGGTAGGTCTAAGGTATCTTAAGGTACACTTTTAGGTGTTCGGTTTTGACATAGTTAGGCACGGTAATGCTATAGTTACGTGTTTTGTTGCTTTGTTTTTTTCTCTCGCTTCAGCTATTTCTCTTTCGCCCTATGCAATTTTACTTGTCTGTTTCTCGAGCTTTCCTTTTCTCACGGTAATCGGTAGACATGTGGTGTCAAGTGTTACACGGGTGGTGACAGTAGGTGGCGTTTTTGTAGCGGTACAGTTGGCAAGGTTGCGGTTGGCAGTATTTCTATCACACTGGGTTGGGGTTCAGGTTTTAAGCAGGTCGAGTACATTAGGTACGCTCGTCATATGACGATGTAAGATCTACACGAAGTGCAAAATGTCGTGTGCTCAGCCGGCAGCGCTCCAAAGTGCGGAGAAGTAAGATATGTGGCGCCCCCTCGCGCCCTAACCACGTCTCACGGAATGTCTGCCGGTCAACAGCAATATTGAACCTAGTCCGAAAATAAACCGTCGATATGTCATCAATGCTTTCATCACAGCTAAAAGTGATACTTAAAACACAATTCCGTTTCCGTTCCTGCCACTTTAATCATACAAATTCATTTAAAATTTTTTGTCCTTCACACGAGTCGGTTTAATAACTTGATCTCTTCTATACATTTTCATGAATATACATATCTCAATTGGTGCAAGGACCTACGAAATTTGGATAAAGGTTCGTTAGAAATTCGTGGCTTGTGCAACGGAAGTAATTCAGTGTAATGTTCTAGTCTTAACTGGCAAAACGTTGGCCTCCGTCAAGTTAAAATCTAAAATCTATACATTGTGATGTTTTCTGAACACCGTCGCTATCGTCAAACCATCATATTATAGTAAATATCCTGCAGCATGCATGAATGCTTCAAATGTTCTCGGCTCTATCGGGTTCCAGATGCTGCGCCTACAATTCACAATAGTCGACCGTTTTCAACAGCTTGGCAATGTAATAGTTGCAACTGCCATGCCCGAGATGAGAGGCGGTACGTGTGGACTTACTATCCCGCGCGCGTCCGCATCCTAGAGTGTATAGTTGTGTAAGATTCTAATCGATTGCATAATATCATGTTATTCGCTTCATCACATTTCTATTAGATTTTAAATGACAGTCACATAGCTCGATTCGAGCTCTTCACTTTCTTCTCCCACACATCGGATCTACGTAAAGCATGTACAGAAACGTCCTCTTACGAAATGTAACGGGAATGGCACATGTGCGAAGCGTAAGTGAAATCGCTCTATAGCGCAACATCTCTATAGGTGGCTGTGTTTCTCCTTGACATACAAATTTTCTGTTCGTGCATGGTATACGCTACCACATAATTATACGGGGTCTGCGTACATCAATTACCCACGTGTACTTGTGCCTCTACTGTTTCTGTAATTTTGATCACAATTGATCCATAACGAATCAACAGGAGTTTCGGCGACTGATTGAATTCAGTATAAGCATGTGGAAACGTAGTGCGCATCCGACTAAACCAGAAACGGTTTATATCGAGTAACGACGTCGCTGCTTACAGAACAGTTTGAGTAACGATATTGCACCCTATTCTAGGCGATTCGCGCTGGTTAGAAGTAATTCGAATCCAGCTATTACCATGTGTGTTTCACATCGCTAATGTCGTGCGCTGCTATGCACACCTTTAGTAAGTACCGACACACAGCGTTGTCACCGTGCCTCGCATGTTAGAAACTCAGCGTTCAGCACGACGTGATCACGCCGTCGTCAGTTGGTAGAGCCAGCGAACGTTAACGGAATAGGGTGCATACCATATTCGACATCTGTTTAATTTACGCAAAGTTCTGTTTTTCTCATCACATGTCCGTTATGTATATGTAGTTAGCATGTTTATTGTATAACACCGTATTTTACCTAAATTTATTTTAACCCCTTATATTGACAGACTTTTGTCTTTTAATGTGTTTGTCCGTTTATTCGTTGTATATATATTATATTAGAATTGAATGTGTAATTTTATTGCGAGTGTAGTAGGATCACGAGTGTTGCACGTGTGTGTGTGCATGTTTGGGTCGTTGTAGATGTGTATGCCACGTTTGTGTTAGACAGTGTACACGGATTATTGCCCTGTTACTACACACGAAGTATATTATTAAGTTTTTAAGGAATTTTAGTTGAACAGCTTATGCGAGAATAATGCGAAAAAACAGCGCAACAAATCAAGCTGTCTTCCACAATATATATTTATATATATTATAAATATACATTATACGTAAAATGTGACGTCACGTACGATTGTGTACGGGTAACCGCGTCCAGTGCGACTATACAGGGTGACGATGCGTACGCCTTGCGTACCAGCGTCAAATGTAGTGGATATAAAAGTTGTCATCTTTAGCCTCACGTGCCTTACCTATACGTGACACAGTTGAGTTGCGAAGGGTTGCTGTGTAGGCGCGTCCGTACTGCATGTAGATCTATTGATATCAGTTGTAGAATTGTGCGCCCCTGTTACATTCCGTCTCAATAAGTTCTAACAAGTGCCTTTGATCGTTGTTGTGTTCATAAGTCATAGGGTACTTCATCTGTTAGAACGTCGCGTACATGCCTTAATTGTCAAGATTTTCGCTCAACGCCCTTAGTGCTTATCAGATGCTTGCACGTATAGCTCTACCTCTGTGACCTTTCGCTTCGCCACACATGCGAGAGAGAAGCGCTATGCGGGTAGAGCTAGTCTGCATGAGGCATCTGTCTTCCTAGCGATGGCTTCTTATTAGTATTGTAAGATTAATTGATATTGTGATGACGTAACGTGTGAACAGACCGTTCGATGTAGTATCGCAGTCAATGTAACGAGCGGTGCGCGCCCCGTAAGCGCTTCCGGCGCAGCTTGTGTTTAGCTATATCAGTCTTAGATCATCTCCTTAAGTCACGTGCAATAATGTGTTGTTTTCTTTGGCCATTGATTGCGCAATAGTCAGTACTTTCGAGATTTTGTAGCAGTCACGGTCGTGTGCCGTGTCCGCCGCCGCGAGGAAGGCTATCATAGCCGGGAAATGTCATCCGATGGAGAGTGTGATCGAGTGACGAGACAGAGAGATCATGTATACTACAATACTCGGTCGCGCTGTTTCTGCTGCGGAACATTTTCTAGTTACTAATGTCATCTTGTTCGTAAACGTGACGATTCATTATAATGCAACTGAATTGCAAAACAGGCGCACATACACAGGGTATACGTTTTTTAGAATGTTTATTTAGTATTGAATTTGAATTGCTCTATATCTGTTTAGATTTGGCCATGTATTGCAGAAATACTGCATCCAGGCCGGCACAAGTGCCTTGGTATTCACTTTAAAGTGCCTTGTGATTTTTGAATGAATTTATGACGAAACGAGCACATATATGATATATAGTGTATATGTGTTACCGATGCATCGTTCAGCCATATATAATAATGTGATTAATGCTGATAGATTATATTATGATTACATACTTTACTACAATAGCATGAGTCGAGATCGTACTCTAAACAAATAATGCCTGCTCCGCGCTGGCAAGTTGACAATATAACATAAAGTAGCAATCAAATAGAATGTATAACACCACTGCTTTTACTCAATAAAGTTACTGTAAATAAAATTCGTGTGTTCTTTTGTCGCTTGCATCACAACTCGACTGGACCAGACAATGTATAGCAATACTGATAAACGTCACCTGGCTAAATATTCAAACCGAAATTGGGTACATTATTGGGTATATACCACGACATATCTCTAATGACGTCATCAATCCGACATGGAAACGTATAATGAAACAAACTGATAAGATGTGCAGCATGATCGTTCACTTTCCATAAAACGAATTTCGATACTTTATTTTACATTGTTTTTTTTATCATTTAAGATATTTATCACACCCCTGGAGCTATCCTGCCTTATACTGATCCATACTGGTGCGCATGTGATGGGCAATCCTGCAGACTAGCAAAGGCACACGCAAAGAAACGCGAGCAACTAAGCCAAACACAAGTCCGCGTTCAGACATCTTTTAATATGCTATAGCGTGTCGCCATGTCAGATACAATATATCAAGAAATGATTATTGCTAATTCACGCATGCACGCACAGCGTAAACACATGCACGCACGCCCGCATGGCCGCACGACCGCACACGCGCACATACTCATGCACTCTTACACACACGAGTATGTATACGCGCACGGACATACATGTACACAAACACTCACACACAACATGTACACGACAAACACAGATAGCCCATATATTATTACCATTATAATAACATAATGATAGCCCATAATAATTGTAAGCCACATATATGATTCGTTATGGCTGACAATGCACAATAGTAACCAAGCAACAGTACACGTCATATATATATATATATATATATTACATATTGTTGTCAGAGCCTTTGTTGCGTAACCCGTTATTAATCCGCTAACCCTGACAGATAACCCTCATAAATTTATCGTGTTCATTGCAAAGCTCATGACAGTATTCAATTCTGTATAGGTATGTATCATCCTACGTAAGGAAGGGGTTCTTTCTCGTTGTCAATTTAGTTCTGCTTGTACGCTAGCAAAATTGTACTCGTTTAGTCAAGACAGATGGCGCGAGCGACTATCTATCTACAATATCTACGCGTTTCTACTAGTTGCTAGCTGTTGTTCTATTTACACAATGGTGACATTACTCACATTAGTAAGCAAAACAAGAAGCCGCAAACTAGTTACAGTTCACAACGACAATAAGAGACTATAACTATTAACACGTGGCAGATTTGATCAGTTAGAATGTTGCGTAAAGCGATTAATAACACGAACTTCGTATTCAGCAGGAATAACGATGTCGATCCCGGTTCATTCCATGCGCATGTCCAATTATGGGTTAAAGATCCGAAGTCCAGAGGAAGTCAAGCTCCAGCACAGAGAGATGGTGGAGGTGCGACTACTAGCGAATACTTTCTTGGGGCTTATTTGACTGTATATTATATTTTTATAATATTGTTTGCTGCGGTGTTTCAAGTATTTAGCTTGAAATTTAATATATTTTTTTTGGCAATATGGTTTTCATTCCTGCTCTGTCACATCGTTATCTTCCGTAAGCTAAAATACACGCGCGCCGCAAATGCACACGTATATATACGTTACGTATACGAGGACGCACGCACGCACGCACACATACACAAACAGGCATAGACACACAGACACACAGACACACTCACACACACACACACACACACACACACACACACACACACACACACACACACACACACACACACACACACACACACACACACACACACACACACACACACACACACACACACACACACACACACACA